TATTCCGTCTTTGCGTATTGCAGAGTTATCTTCTCTTGTGAGCAGGTATTGATTGTTACGTCATTGGTTTGTGAGAGTAACGTCATCAATTTTTGAGAAAACAACGTAATTTTCTCACACAAACCAATGACGTAACAATCAATACCTGCTCACAAGAGAAGATAACTCTGCAATACGCAAAGACGGAATAGTTTCATTTAAATCAATGATTCATATATTGTTTCATTTACAATTAAAGTTGTACCTGTTTTATTTCCATGAATCATTGTCAACATCTCAATAGATGTGAGATATTCTGTGTAAAAGATCGAATTATCGGACATTGTTATCTTTTTGTTGTTAACGAGTCTGTAGATCACCAATGAAAGCCTCCATGTATAGCTGTTAGAATACTATTCAACATGATCTCCAAAGCTCCAGGAGTGTACAGATTAGAGGAAGTCTCCAAAGCTCCAGGAGAGTACAGTTTGGAGGAAGTCTCCAAAGCTCCAGGAGAGTAAAGATCAGAGGAAGTCTCCAAACCTCCAGGAGAGTACAGATCAGGGGAAGTCTCCAAAGCTCCAGGATAGTACAGATCAGAGGAAGTCTACAAAGCTCCAGGAGAGTACAGTTTGGAGGAAGTCTCCAAAGCTCCAGAAGATTACAGATCAGAGGAAGTCTCCGAAGCTCCAGGAGAGTACAGATTGGAGGAAGTCTCCAAAGCTCCAGAAGATTACAGATCAGAGGAAGTCTCCCAAGCTCCAGGAGAGTACAGATTAGAGGAAGTCTACAAAGCTCCAGGAGAGCACAGATCAGAGGAAGCCTACAAAGCTCCAGGAGAGTACAGATCAGGGGAAGTCTCCAAAGCTCCAGGATAGTACAGATCAGAGGAAGTCTCAAAAGCTCCAGGAGAGTACAGATTAGAGGAAGTCGCCAAAGCTCCAGGAGAGTACAGATTAGAGGAAGTCGCCAAAGCTCCAGGAGAGTACAGTTTGGAGGAAGTCTCCAAAGCTCCAGGAGAGAACAGATCAGAGGAAGTCTCCAAACCTCCAGGAGAGTACAGATCAGGGGAAGTCTCCAAAGCTCCAGGATAGTACAGATCAGAGGAAGTCTGCAAAGCTCCAGGAGAGTACAGTTTGGAGGAAGTCTCCAAAGCTCCAGAAGATTACAGATCAGAGGAAGTCTCCGAAGCTCCAGGAGAGTACAGATCAGGGGAAGTCTCCAAAGCTCCAGGAGAGCACAGATTAGAGGAAGTCTCCAACGCTCCAGTAGAGTACAGATCAGAGGAAGTCTCCAAACCTCCAGGAGAGTACAGATCAGGGGAAGTCTCCAAAGCTCCAGGATAGTACAGATCAGAGGAAGTCTCAAAAGCTCCAGGAGAGTACAGATTGGAGGAAGTGTCCAAAGCTCCAGGAGAGTACAGTTTGGAGGAAGTCTCCAAAGCTCCAGAAGATTACAGATCAGAGGAAGTCTCCCAAGCTCCAGGAGAGTACAGATTAGAGGCAGTCTCCAAAGCTCCAGGAGAGAACAGATCAGAGGAAGTCTCCAAAGCCCCAGGAGAGTACAGATCAGAGGAGGTCTCCAAAGCTCCAGGAGAGTTCAGACTAGAGGAAGTCTCCAAAGCTCCAGGATAGTACAGATCAGAGGAAGTCTCAAAAGCTCCAGGAGAGTACAGATCAGAGGAGGTCTCCAAAGCTCCAGGAGAGCACAGATCAGAGGAAGTCTCCAAAGCTCCAGGAGAGTACAGATTAGAGGAAGTCTCTTCTTCTAATTCCTATCTATATCTATATATATAATTACCATTTCAAAACATATTTTCTTCTCATGTCCCATTCAAATCAGGCAAGTATATCATAAACATACTTATTTGTGATAATCTTTTTTGTAACCAAGTTATTTGTCCTTTACAGATATTTGACCTCAGTGCTTACACTACAAAGATTTTCCTAGCTTTCCCAAATTAGAACAAAAATTATACATTTCCAAAGTTGAAATTGACAATCTAAAACATTTTTTTTTTTTAAATAGAATCCATCAGTCAACACATCAATAGAATAAATAAAACACCCTTAAACAGAAAACAGACTTTTTATATTCCTAAATATCCTCCATCCGCAGTTCAAAATACTGCTACTCATGGACTCTATTAAAACTAAATTGGGAAATCCCTGCAATTAAGCTGAAAGTCTAAAAATTCTGTTTCCACATTTGTATGGATTTTAATTTGTAAACATACACATGATATCAAAAGACAATACAGATCTGAAATGGTAAGTTTTTTGGTTGAAATCAATTAATATTAGTGCTAATGAACAAAAGGAAGAATAAGAAACATACAGAAACTGAACAAGAACATCAACACTTTAAACAAGTGTGTTTTGACTGTAACTAGAAGTGTGGTGTTTTGACTGTAACTAGAAGTGTGGTGTTTTGACTGTAGCTAGAAGTGTGATCGCCTGAAATTGAAATAACAAGTGCTCTGCAGCAGACTGAACATGCAACAAAAAGTGATGTGCGTTCTGGGGTTGTGTGGCTGTAACTTTTCATTTTAAATTAAAACATACAACTGTCCCATGTTCTGTTATTACACAGAAATGTTGTACAACCAAGCTTTCAATGAGGAGAAGTAACAATGCTTAGAAAGACGCTCATGATCACAAACCAATAAGTTTTCTGCCAGGAGTTAAAGATTCACTTTCGACATCGACACCAATGACAAACTTGCAGTACATTTTTGTACCAATTCTTTTATCCCAAACAAACGACAACTAGAGAAAATGTTGAGAAAAGTGAAAAACAATTGTCATTACAGTAACTGTCCAACTGAAATTTGTAATACAGGCATCTGAAATGGAATGGGCAAAAATCTCTTGCCTTGTCTTTAGCAATGAGGCAAATCTTTGGTTCACAACATTTTAAAAATTTCCTGAAAAACAGATGTTCAATTATCAAATGTTTCCTAACACTTCATAAGAGCATACATCATAAGTAATACATCGCCCAACATATACTCATGGAGTGTGATGAGTTACTCTTTTTACTTGTTTCTGATGACCTAGAACCAGTCAAACGACCTTGACCTTTTTTAAGTGACCTTCACTTATACCTGCAGCTCCTCAACCTCCTCTGGTCGTGTGGGAAGGTCTCTGATGCGTGCTCGTATACGTTCAGCCTGGAGCTGCATTCCCGGATCACTGAATTCAGGGGAGGGCGATCGCCGACGGGGCTGGAACAGAGTGGTTGGGAGTGTGGGTGGTGCTAGCACAGTACACATACAACTCATAACATATACATAGTGTTAGAAGGTAATATTTTGTTAAAGGAATATCCATGTCAGCATTTTTTTTTGGCGAGGGGTTGGCGAAAGGGGGTTGGGTGTCCAAAAACATTACTTCCTTTATTTGCAGTTATGTCAAGAAATACATACTTTTTTTTTACACTGCCTCCATTTCACACTATCAACAAATTCACATTGTGCAATTGTGTAAAGTTGGGAATAGTTGTACAATCGACATACATGTAAGTTGGAGTTGAATGTACCTGTGTGTCCTGATGGCGAACGTCCCTCACTGCCGGTTGTTGGGCCAACATCTTGCCGTACTGCTTCTGCTGGCTCTTCTCGATACGACTGCGGTACTGACTACGATCTGTTGTCTCTCCTTGCCGTGGAGAGGCATTGGCTACTGGCTGCTTGTTGGGATAGTCCCTCTTCATCTTTATATAAGCTTGTTCACGCTTTTGCTACAAAAAACATGTTTGAAGTGTATTGTTTTAACAACCCTGATCATAGACCAGACCCAGGTCACACATTGTACTCATTTGTATGTGAAACGAATCGGACTGTGTATAGTCATGTAATCTACATCAGTGTTCCATAAAACTGGAAATTGCTTTTTTCACGTAGAGTGAATTTGTAAGCACCTAAATATCAACAAACGAATACTATAAAGCGGGTAACTTTCGCCTGTCAAAGTTTTGACCGATGCTGATAAAACCCATTTTTTTTCATTTTTTTTCATTTCGCCTTGCACATTTGATTTGGTTTATTATGATATTTACTTTTCACATTTGATTATTATGGTTTATTATGATATTTACTTTTCACATTTGATTATTATGGTTTATTATGATATTTACTTTTCACATTTGATTATTATGGTTTATTATGATATTTACTTTTCACATTTGATTATTATGGTTTATTATGATATTTACTTTTCACATTTGATTATTATGGTTTATTATGATATTTACTTTTCACATTTGATTATTATGGTTTATTATGATATTTACTTTTCACATTTGATTATTATGGTTTATTATGATATTTACTAATGTTTGCTGTACAGATTCATTTGTCTTCATTGGGAAGGCAAAATAGGCGAAAAATTGAACTGTGGCAAAAATTTCCCGGTAAACAGTATTATTTATACACCATATGGATTATAAATATGTAGAATATATAGATTCATCAACCTTTACCAAGGCAAAAGATTTCCAACAGCAATTAGTTTAAAGAGTCATAACACATACATTTTCACAGGTGAAAAATTGTACTTTTACAGTACCATATTCTAAAACAGAAATTGTCGACGTATATTTCCATAAAACCTCTATATTATATTGTATTCCCCCTTTTTTTTCTCTAGAATAAAGGGTATATATGAAATGGAACCAAGGGATAAGTCAAGTCTATACATAACTAGCCTGCTGTCACATAGACTATTAGTGTAATGTTATACTGTACCTTCTCTAGGTCTTCCTTGTACTGTCTCCTGCGTTCAGGCTCTTGTTCCCGCTTGTACTCCTCATACCCTCCAAACTTCATGCCCTCTAAAGGGGGTGTCGGCTCCTTCTTCAGTGCTCGCCCTTGGTTCTACGTAAGTCAGAGGTCATAATGTATTGGTTTACTGTCAATCATTTTTCAACACAGAATTATGTGTGCAGAAATTCAGTTTTGCTACGTATACTTATATCCGATGAGCCTCTATCTACTAAAACTAGATTACTTTTCAGTGAAATTCACAGAAAACACCTTTAATTATGATCAAGTTTTTATCGGCAATGAATGGAAAAATATTTTTCAGTGCCACCACCCGCGACCCAACCCCCCCCCCCCCTTCACCCAGGACCCCTCACCCCTATTTACCCACCCACTCTCCCAACATACACATTAAAACCGTTGACTCCAACAAGTACATGGTAACGTGCTGTAATGTTGTAACGCTGCTGTGACTTATGTGTCCTCGTGTATTCCGTTCATTCTTCGACCAAGTCTCAGACTCAGTGGTTACTGTAAAGTTGCTAATTTTCATATTTGTATGCAGAAATCACTTTGTTGGATTCTTAATTTCTTATTAAATAATGATATTGATATTCCAACTATTTTTTTAATTTCCTCTCAAATATATTATAAAAATGTGAGGTACACTGTACTTAAATTTGTAAAATTACTTCAAATTATGTTCTAGGTTGGGATCATCTAGCTCTCTCAACATCTCTTAAAAAGGTACGGAACTTAACAAAACTACTGTACAGAAAAGGTCAAGATCATTCATTTAACCAAATTCTATCTTATTTATACCTCAGCAAGCAAAGGACAAAGTGGCTCAAAGTATTGAGGTTTTGTTCAAGTTTTTATAAGTTTCAAACACATCTTACCTGTGACTTGAAAGAAATTAGGGTCATTTCATCAGAGCAAGCAATATTAATAGAAAGATCAAATAGCATGACTTTAAGTCTCAGTTTTCTAAAGAAGACATTTTCAGGAAAAAGCTTACAGATAGACAAACACACAGCACCATCACATAATACAAGTTCACCGGCACTAAAAAAAACATGCCTGTTAAGCCAGAAACATTATTTTTACTAAAGATGATATATATAATATGTGTATCAGGTTGGCTATAATGTACTAATCAAAGGCGGCCGGTGATTGTGATTGTTGACACTTGTGAGGCAATGATCAGGATAGAAGATGTTATGTATTACAGCTAGGTGTGCTCAATTTGTGTAACTATTTACAATTGTATTATAGTTAGACAGAAGCATCATTATGATACACTTTGTAAAGAAAATGTAACATCTTTATATCCTTCATTGTTCTATGATTGCTATATGCTCAATAATCAATGAATACTGTTCATGTGTATGCAGTGTGACGATAATCAATGAATACTGCTCATGTGTATGCAGTGTGACAATAATCAATGAATACTGTTCATGTGTATGCAGTGTAACAATAATCAATGAATACTGTTCATGTGTATGCAGTGTGACAATAATCAATGAATACTGTTCATGTGTATGCAGTGCAACAATAATCAATGAATACTGTTCATGTGTATGAAGTGTAACAATAATCAATGAATACTGTTCATGTGTATGAAGTGTAACAATAATCAATGAATACTGTTCATGTGTATGAAGTGTAACAATAATCAATGAATACTGTTCATGTGTATGAAGTGTAACAATAATCAATGAATACTGTTCATGTGTATGCAGTGTAACACTAATCAATGAATACTGTTCATGTGTATGCAGTGCAACAATAATCAATGAATACTGTTCATGTGTATGCAGTGTGGCGATAATCAATGAATACTGTTCATGTGTATGCAGTGTGACAATAATCAATGAATACTGTTCATGTGTATGCAGTGTGACGACTAACAAATGATCTGTAATGTTGATGATAAATGTAAAATACAAAAAGCACTTCAATCTCTATAATATTCGCTACATGAGATGACCACAAGCTTTACCTCATTCATTCTCAGATATTTATTGTATTCTTTTCGCTTATCATCCTGAAATCCTTTCTCCCACTCTCCAAAGTTCACTGGGTGTTTCTTTCCCTTGTTGCCCTGCTGAGCGGGGAGTTGGGTCGACGGTCCTGTCTGGTCCCATGTTAACCTACCACGGGGCACACCAGCTTGGCCCTTTAGTGGCAAGGGAGCAGAAAATGAGAGAACTGATACCATAGTCTAGTGGACCAAATAGAATGGTCTGACCGCTGAATTGCAGGCAGCTGTCTACAGCTGAGTGTACTGTATTAGTGGTTACTAAAGCACACACTGGCAAAACACAACCACTCTGTAATGGTGAGCTGTACTTACACCGGCAAAAAGCAACCACTCTATAATGGTGAGCTACACACACTGGCAAAACTTTGTACACACTGTCCAAATGTTAACTCAGCCACTTTATAGTGAGCTGTGCTAACACTGGCAAAAAGCAAACTCTCTTAAAGTCTATAATGGTGAGCTACACACACTGGCAAAACACAACCACTCTATAAGGGTGAGCTAGCTCATGAAATGCATATGCAATATACATGTTCATCTGTAAAATATGTCTCAAACCAAAGGAAATGCAAGAGGCACAGAGGGCCTGTATCGCTCACCTGGATATCAAAGTAATCATGGCAAAATATTCTCCAAATAAGATCCAAAGGAATGGGCCTGACCCCAAGCACAATTCTTGTATCCTATCTGTATTAAATTGTTCATGCCCAGCAATTTTATGTATGGTTATGGGGTGCGGATCCCAACTGTTTCCAAGGTGTGACTCAGAAACAAGGTCCCTAGGGTTGTGGCCAGACTCCAGGATCAATTATAATATCATGACTGCATTTGTCTCTTCATGCCCAGCATTGGTATATACAGTTTTCGGGTGGGGATCTCAACTGTTTCAAAGTTATGACCCAGAGGTTAAGTCTGCGAGGGTGGGACAGACCCACGGGTCAATTCTAATATCCTGACTGCATTCGCCTCTTTATGGCCAACAATATATATATAGTTTTGGGGTGGGGATCTTAACCGTTTCAAAGTTATGACCCAGGGGTTAAGTCTCCAAGGGTGGAGCAGACTCTGGAATCAATTCTTATATCATGACTGCATTCCTCTCTTTATGCCCAGCATTTGTATATACAGTTTTGGGGTGGAGATCTCAACCGTTTCAAAGTTATGACCCAGGGACTATGACTCCAAGGGTGACGCCAGACTCCTGGACAATCCTGGAAACATATGTGTATTCTTCTCTTCATTCTCAGCAATTGTATATATGGTTAAAGGGTGGGGATCTCAACCATTTCCAAGCAATAAACTATTTCTGGCCCCACCCTTTAGCCAAGGGGGTCAGCCCCACTACTTGTACTATTTGAATCCCTGCCTCCCATAAATGCTTTCAACCAAATATGATTGATATCCAGTGCATATAGTTCTACAGAAGAAGTTGTTTATAGCAATATAGCCAAATTACCCTGTTTGGCCACGCCCTTCAGCCCCCTTGGGGTCAGCCCCACCATTTGTACAATTTTGAATCCCCACTACCTAGGGATACTTCCAGAAAAATATGGTTGATATCCATTTCACTGTTCTACAGAAGAAGTTGTTTATAGCAATATAGCCAAATTGTCCCCTTTTGGCCCCGCCTCTCAGCCCCTGGAGGGGTTAATCCTATCATTTGTACAATTTTGAATCCCCACCACCTAGGGATGCTTTCAGTCAATTTTAGTTAAATTCCAGTCAGTGGTTAAGAAGAAGGGTTCGTTTGAAGAAATTGTTGACTGAGGGATGACGGACGCCACGGTATGGCATAAGCTCACCTTGGTCCTTCGGACCAGATGAGCTATAATAACCAATGGCTTGAAACATTGATGGGACGGTATTTGCAAACAGATAGCTGAGAAAAACTACAATGATGAATGTCATGTCTCAAACCAAGGACAATACATTGGCGAAGACATTACCGGGTATGTTTAAGTACATAATTATAATAAATACAATTACAGGATGTCTCAAACTGCCTGTAAATACTTGATTCCAACAGGACATGACTTGAGACACACTATGTAATTATATGATAACTATAAAGCACAATACAGATGTCTAATTAGTAGCTAGAGTATTAGCTCAAAGCAAACATCACACTGTTTTTATTACCAGGTAATATCTAAATTGTAATCTCAAAATGGCCATTGAAAACGATTTGTCCTAATAAACTACACTCAGTTTTGAGATGTTCTTTTTTCCTGTTTTATAATCCTGATCATCATACATAACCTAACTAAAGGCATTCATTGACGCAAATCATGTGTCCCATCGGTGTCACGCACTGTTTACTTTAAATTAGCTACATTGTTCACAGACGTAAACTTAAAGATGGATTCAATTTACAAATTATAAATATTCATAAATATAAGTGATGATAATCATTACTATATATTAGCTAGCTGAACAATGATATGATATAAATGACATCTACCTGTACTTTATATACTGTGTATGGGAACAAGGATGTTTTATGGGGTTTTTTCCCTTTAATGTCATCTATATGAAACAGATATTCAAATGTATAACAAAAATACAAAACATTAAATGCAACTAGAATTAAACAGGGCATGTAGGACACACATTGTTCTAAAGTAGAGTACGATAGCTATAAATAGACAGGGAAGGTACGACACATTGTTCTAAAGTAGAGTACGATAGCTATATATAGACAGGGAAGGTAGGAAACATTGTTCTAAAGTATAGACAGGTGGGGGGAAGTGGAGTTGGGCACATTGTTCTAAAGTATAGACAGGTGGGGGGAAGTGGAGTTGGGCACATTGTTCTAAAGTATAGACAGGTGGGGGGAAGTGGAGCTGGGCACATTGTTCTAAAGTATAGACAGGTGGGGGGAAGTGGAGTTGGGCACATTGTTCTAAAGTATAGACAGGTGGGGGGAAGTGGAGTTGGGCACATGAGTATGTAGCACACCACAGCACACCTATCTACACCACACAACACTGGTCAACCACAGTACCACATACTTGTTCATGTCAAGTGAATTAAGATAATTGATGCTTATATTAGCAAAAACTCAATACTCCCGGCACTTTGTACTGCAAATATGTATATGTATAATGTATACATATAGCACTTCAATCAGTATCTAGTCAACTAGCTATAGACTCCCACTATACAGAATCTTGATTTCTTGATGCTTACTGCATTCTAGAACAGTTACTTACTCCCTCAAAGATAATTCTTATTTTATAAATCCAAAATGTCAGTACAAATGAGGTTCAACTGTGTGATATAATATTAAAGTTATAGGTTATCAGGAAAGTTTTGGCTCAAAGATTTATGAATTTATCCTGGGACATGCTTTTGCTCCATCAATTACCCATTTATTATTATCTTTAACAACATACCTGGAAATTAACCCAAAATTATTTTACATTTTCTAGCTAAGGACCACAACTTAAAGTAGTACTCTTGGTCATCAGAACGATTGAGTAATGGTTTTGCTCACTAGAGATGATACTACTCCCCTATATATGAGGGTGTTGCCCTTTGCTCACTAGAGATGATACTACTCCCCTATATATGAGGGTGGTGCCCTTTGCTCACTAGAGATGATACTACTCCCCTATATATGAGGGTGTTGCCCTTTGCTCACTAGAGATGATACTACTCCCCTATATATGAGGGTGTTGCCCTTTGCTCACTAGAGATGATACTACTCCCCTATATATGAGGGTGTTGCCCTTTGCTCACTAGAGATGATACTACTCCCCTATATATGAGGGTGTTGCCCTTTGCTCACTAGAGATGATACTACTCCCCTATATATGAGGGTGTTGCCCTTTGCTCACTAGAGATGATACTACTCCCCTATATATGAGGGTGTTGCCCTTTGCTCACTAGAGATGATACTACTCCCCTATATATGAGGGTGTTGCCCTTTGCTCACTAGAGATGATACTACTCCCCTATATATGAGGGTGTTGCCCTTTGCTCACTAGAGATGATACTACTCCCCTATATATGAGGGTGTTGCCCTTTGCTCACTAGAGATGATACTACTCCCCTATATATGAGGGTGTTGCCCTTTGCTCACTAGAGATGATACTACTCCCCTATATATGAGGGTGTTGCCCTTTGCTCACTAGAGATGATACTACTCCCCTATATATGAGGGTGTTGCCCTTTGCTCACTAGAGATGATACTACTCCCCTATATATGAGGGTGTTGCCCTTTGCTCACTAGAGATGATACTACTCCCCTATATATGAGGGTGTTGCCCTTTGCTCACTAGAGATGATACTACTCCCCTATATATGAGGGTGTTGCCCTTTGCTCACTAGAGATGATACTACTCCCCTATATATGAGGGTGTTGCCCTTTGCTCACTAGAGATGATACTACTCCCCTATATATGAGGGTGTTGCCCTTTGCTCACTAGAGATGATACTACTCCCCTATATATGAGGGTGTTGCCCTTTGCTCACTAGAGATGATACTACTCCCCTATATATGAGGGTGTTGCCCTTTGCTCACTAGAGATGATACTACTCCCCTATATATGAGGGTGTTGCCCTTTGCTCACTAGAGATGATACTACTCCCCTATATATGAGGGTGTTGCCCTTTGCTCACTAGAGATGATACTACTCCCCTATATATGAGGGTGTTGCCCTTTGCTCACTAGAGATGATACTACTCCCCTATATATGAGGGTGTTGCCCTTTGCTCACTAGAGATGATACTACTCCCCTATATATGAGGGTGTTGCCCTTTGCTCACTAGAGATGATACTACTCCCCTATATATGAGGGTGTTGCCCTTTGCTCACTAGAGATGATACTACTCCCCTATATATGAGGGTGTTGCCCTTTGCTCACTAGAGATGATACTACTCCCCTATATATGAGGGTGTTGCCCTTTGCTCACTAGAGATGATACTACTCCCCTATATATGAGGGTGGTGCCCTTTGCTCACTAGAGATGATACTATAGCAACTCCCCTATATATGAGGTTGTTGCCCTTTGCTCACTAGAGATGATACTACTCCTCTTTATATGAAGGTGTTGTCCTTTGCTCACTAGAGATGATACTACTCCCCTATATATGAGTTTGTTGCCCTTTGCTCACTAGAGATGATACTATAGCTACTCCCCTATATATGAGGGTGGTGCCCTTTGCTCACTAGAGATGATACTACTCCTCTATATATGAAGGTTTTGTCCTTTGCTCACTAGAGATGATACTACTCCCCTATATATGAGGGTGGTGCCCTTTGCTCACTAGAGATGATACTACTCCCCTATATATGAGGGTGTTGTCCTGTACCTGTTGTAGGTAATCCAGATATCCCTTTTTCTTGTCCTCCATCATTTCCTTCTTAACAACATCGTAGTTGTATAGATCTCGGGGAGACTGTAAGTTCTAGCAAAGCAACACAAACTACAACATCTAGTTATATGTCAATAATATAAATTCTGATCCACTTCAAATATAAACCTGGCAAATTACAGTGAAATTAAATATAAATGACACCTCTCTATAAACAGCACCTCTGTACAAAGGACACCTCTCTATAAACAGCACCACTGTACAAAGGACACCTTAAGCTTCCTGACACAGCATAATACATGTACATCATTTATAATATGCTTCATTTTTTATGTTTTCGATTATAAGATTCATTGGAAGATTAACTATTTTGCAAAAACTGGACATGCAGTCTATTATTATATTTATATATCAAGCATTTCATAATAATTTTCTATATCAATTTCTTATCAAAATAAACTAAAGCAAATGAAACATTTACCAGGTATATCCCAGTTAAATTCCCATCTGATGTTATATCAGATTGTGTCTGTGGCAGTATACATAAGGTGCCCTATATAGATATTTCACTGTTCAGATTAGACAACTCAGCTGAGACGTTTGCCTGCACATTTCTGGGTATACTTTAATTTAATTATCATACAATACACTTCATTTGCATATAAATATTGAGATCCTGGTAAATATATAGCATATAAAACATACATATCATAAACTTCATCATGATCATTAAGTATTTCATATCTATACTACATTGTCAGGTATGTACATGTACATGCAAGTCTCCTTCTATCACTTAGAAATTCATCAAGAGCTGAAGACCAAAATATGGCACAACTGGAAACATAATTTTAACACAAATTTCGAAATTTTTTTAGAAAAAAGAGATCACTGTTGAACTACATGTATATAAATGTTCATTCGTTTTCTTTCGACGCCATGCATATTGAAAGTATTTAAGGAAACGCACAGTTAATTGATATAAACGTATCTCTGAAAAGAAAGTATATTGTTAGAGTCAAATATCTAAATTCTGTATAAATAGGCACAAATACCTGTACACTGTATTTACACTGATCCAATAGTGTAAAATATATAGTATATCATTAATTATACACTGGAATAATACAGGCAAGCAATGTAATAATATAATACTGTTATAAACCATCCTACACGGTAAGTAGTGATCATACATATTATATGTTGTGCACAGTTGTGACATCTGCAGTAAATATAAATCAACATGTGATGCTAATCGTTAGAAAGCAATCAATTAAACCATACATTATTTTAGTCCATTTTCTCCAATATGTGATTATGAAATGATTGATAGCCACAGCTCCCAGTTATAGTAATACAGTACTACACTGTATGTAGGGTAACTGGTCATATGTTCATATTATATAGGAATATGATGTATAGTAATACAGTACTATGTAGGGTACCTGGTCATATGTTCATATTATATAGGAATATGATGCAAACAATTTATATGAACTTCAGTACTTCTCTTCATTTTAATAATTTAAAATACCCATCCAAACAGGCATTCATGTTGTGGCAGCTAACTTTTATGTCCACACAAACCAACAATACATTTTTGTCATATGATATCGTGAATAATGAGCTTTAGCATTCAAACATTCTTGTTTGCATCTGAGGTCGGACAAAACGTCCTTCAAAGTACAGAAGCCATAAAACCAAGCATACATCACTCGTATGTATGACACAGTCCTAAACACATGTAACAACACACAGAAAATATAACAAACCACCATACAAAATGTCCAGACCAATGACCCATGCTGTATTAGCCACAAAGCCATCCACAATGAAGTAAAGCCACCTGGTAAGTATATTACAACATGCAGTTTGGACCCTGATCACAAAAGTTGATGTCCAAACATTGACGTATAAGTAACCCATGCTGTATGTATTCACAACAAAGCATTCCTGATGAAGCAATGGCCGTTGTTACGACATGCATGCATGTTGATGATGAATCCCCAGCACTTCTCATTTTAAACCGGTACCATGTCCATTAAATATTATGACCAAACCATGTCCAATAGGTTATATGACCGAAACCAAAACTACCACAGCAATGTATGTTGGTGATTGTCAACATGCTGACGTCAATCTCTATAAAACGACCACACAATTACAATCAACAATGACAGCCACCGCAACCTATACCAGGAACCGTGTATTAGACGCACACCGGGGACCCATGACAATAGTACACCATTCCATTTATATAACGACCATCTCATACAATGTATGTCAATATTTGAACATGCATAAAATGCTGTACCTGTTTTCCAACATTTGTTCCTTTTTTCTGGAGAAAAAAATTGGTTATGATTGATAAGTTTCTATTCTGATATAGATCTATGAATTAGTTTCAGTAACCGATATTAATGATTTGTAAGTAATTGTGACCAGTTCAAGTGGTGTAAGCGGGAATAAAGCCACGTGGGAATATGGGACAGTGTATATACGTAACAGCCAAACGACACATAAAAAAAAAAAAATGAAAAAAAAAAATGGATGAAAAATTTAAACACAATAACAAGCATACATATGCATGCAAAGTAGTTTAATGACATCTTAATCATCATGTAAAACCATTCTTATGGTAGTAAACATTTCTTGAAATTTAAATACAAATGTATAAACTCCATGCAAAATGATGTGGCCATCTAAACAAAACCAAATCTTAATTGTAAATGGCCCCTAATTAGCATAACAGGATACCTGCAGTAGGTCATTATATTCTTGTTGACGTTCAGCGTTTAGTCGTAAGCGTACTTTCTCATATTGTCCTAACTTTAAGCTCAACTCTGGTGTTGGACAAGGTTTTGAAAACGCATTTGCACTTTCATCTTCATCACAATCTATCTGATTCATTTAAGAAAGACAACTTTTGTAAAATTATAAAAAGTTTTAATATAGATTTTATGAAAATAACATGAAAGTTTACTGAAGATTTTTAACAGTAGATTCTTGATATAAACTGATTTGTTTATAGTATCAATTTGGCATCTAAATTTTTGATATTATTGTAGAGATTATTAAAGGAAGTGAAAACTATTAGATTCTGACTTATAATACTAGGTAAGTCAAAGTACTTTTCCAATACAGGTATAATGATACAGATTGAAAATGAGAATATAGTTACACTGCTAAGAGACTGAACTAAATATTAATGTTAAAAGTGAAACAAATGAAAGTTTTGATATTAATACAAGTGCAGTATATATATGTACTATGATGTAGGTTTACAGTGTATAAGTGTATATACCTGTTCAGCATACTGATTATAGCCCGATTTGTCCCACTGTCGTCTCCTACCCCTCTCTGTCTCACCATCCTAACAACCAATACAAACTGTTACAACTCTGCTCTTCACAGTTCAATATTTAAATAATTGTTAACTGGGTATATAAGCTGTCTTGATCAAAATCCCTGAATAATCTGTCATGAAGTCTGTAGAGCCAGACCCTCTGTGTTTTCGTGATTTGTGAAATGTAGCTATAGTTTGATATGAAATTTAAAGAGTACATGCATTCATGTACATGTATACATGTATTCATAAAATAAATGACATATTTTTGTATGTTTGTAATCTTAGCAAGATCCATTACCCGGTAACTACAAGAGTCCTGAAGATACAGACAATCACAAAAAAGCTTTGATTTATATATCAGTATGAAAATACTGGCTCGTTAACTGGGGCATTTGGCAGTAGAAAGGGCCAGGGTTTATCACAAAATCATTTCTCATAGACCTACTGTATAGTGAATATTTTTTTCTGAATTTCTAACACTGATTTATATATTTACGGTATATATGTATTGATCCTGAATGTTATCAGGCCTAGGTAAACCTACATGTATTGTTGGTAGCTTTCGTTAGATGTATGTTAGTACAACTAATGTCCACACAGCAATTCAATGAGACACTGTTAATTCTAACTTAGAGATGCTCAATGATTAACAAAACAAGCTTTATAATGCACCATCTTTGGTACAGCAAGCAGCATCCATTAACAGGCAAGCTGTTACTTTTGTTCAAAAGCAATTCAAATACAAAATACTGTTCATAATAACAGTATTCAAATTTCATGAAAAGAAAAAACATTGGCTGAGAAACAAGTAATATAAATAGACATGAAAGTATACATAATTTACAAAAATAAATTCTATATAACCAAACTGTATGAAATCAGAAATGATTTAAATCCTAATGAAATTTAGATATTTGTCTACCATATTAAAAATAATTTTAGAAATTTAAATGATACATGTACATGTACATGTAGGCCTTCATGTATAACTGAGAATTAATTTTCTTTTTCAAATGCACCACCTGTAGCACCATACTTTACCTTAAACAACCATTATTATCCTTATTTAGAGAAATTAGATAAAAATCGTAAATTTTAAATTGAAGCCCCCAGAGAGCTTAGTAAGTCACATATGGAAAACACTATTTGTACATAAACTGTAAGTACAGACAGTAGGTAAAATACAGTAAAAACGTGTACTACACAATGTATGTAGGAACAGGAGAAAAGTATTACTCTTGGATCTTTGGTAGAAGGGATAGCTAGGACACAATCAAACAGATTATCTAGCTATACAAACCAAATTTTTAAAAGTATAAATGCAACTATAAATGCAACATGTACAAAATAATCAGAAATAATATCAAAATTTTGCTTGACAACATCTATGTTTTAGAATGTTACCTGTAGGTATATGTATTAAACCGTCGCTAGACTAATCACTGTTTGTGTTAAGAATAGTTAAATCTTTAAATTTACATTTCGGCATATCAAATCCTTTCTTTTAATTTAGAAATTCATCTGATACAAACACATACAGAATGTATATCTAATAATGACATTTCGTGTGGCAAATATAAAGTGCAAACATACCAGTATGTACACATGAACATGTACTAGTATTGATTTTTCTAAGATAGTGAAAAATAGTTTGACAAGGGTAATTTCAAATCTTTTTATATAAAAACTTTGAAAAGTTCTAAATTAAGGTCTGCACTATGTATGAATGAAGCTGTGAAGTGTTGCTTACATTGCCGGTATGTCGTTCCTGCTGAAGCTTCTGTCGCTGATCACTGATGAATCTATCAATCTCATTATCTTGGCGTTGTTGTACTGCTGCAGCCATTTCTGACTTGTATCTGATTAAAATCATAAGAAACATATTAATTTATGATTACAAATCAATCAATTCATTAATAAATATAGAAAACAAAATTGATGTGGTTGTACTGTATTGAGATGTCATTGTTATCGATGAACTAGAAACAAATCATCTGAGCAGTAATGTACTTTGTAGATGTATTGTTAACAGTATGAAGTGCATTGACATATTATATATTGCCAGATATTTGTCCTTGATATAAGTTGCTTCACACATGCAATATACCACAACATAGTACTTTGTATGTAAAAGTATACAATACCATATACACTACAAGCCAGTACATCTGCCCAGCAAGAACCTTATCCCTTTTTCTTTCAGTTCGACATATTTAAAGATTCATAATATCGTAAACAGTTTCGATGCTGTACTAAAATATTTACAATATATGTAGGACACGTATATAAAAAGATTATGATTTGACCATTTTCCTTATCCTACCCCAGGCCCCATATTAACCCTGGACCAATATCAGCCATTGGTCTATAGATTTGATATTAGGAATTGGAAGGATACAGAAATTTTTACATGAAAACCTTAAAGATAACATCTTTGCGTAATGTAATTATTTTTGTACTTTCAGTCTTGACAGATATTTTTCACATAATAGAATTGCAATCTCTCATGATCATTATCCATTACAGCTGAAGTTTAACATTCTTTAAACTTGCTATAACCAATATTTTAAGGTCCTGTTATAACGCATTACAACTGGTATATAATAATTAAGTTATACTACCCATTACATCTATGAAGCTGTAAACTTACTACCCATTAAAGCTTATATTTTAAGGTCTAGATCTTTACAACACATTTCAGCGGGTCTTTATACAGTTGTATGGTCATATATATTATAACCAATTCCAACTGGTATTTCATTATAAAAATAAGGTCATTATAACCTGTTATATATGAGCATGCAAATGTACAGCTGGTAGTGTTATCTGGCTATCAATGAAATGAAGTGTGCTGAGCATGACAGCTTGCCATGGATTAAGCCTCTAAATCAAGGCAAAGCCAGTGACTACCATCATTTTACACCACAGATATGTTGCATTTAAGATATTTACTGTAATACATTATCTTTTTGCTTCAAGGACTTGTAGCTGGCATGTGTATAGCTTTCTTTGTAACAGAAGATCTCCAGATGGAAACTTAATATGACAGAGAGTACCAAAGTATTTTAATAAGTACTTAATTATTAAACACATTTGTCTGGAATCACTTGTTCTCTGGTTCTACACATTTAATGACAACAATAACAACAATGCCAGTAAGATGGGCTAATAAGGCTAACTACATACGTGCATAAAAACATGAGTCAGAGGAAAATTGAGGTTGGGTAAAAATCAGTTGGGATGTAAATTTACTTGTTTATAATATATATGTTATTTCTTCTGCTTTATATATATACAACAAAATTTAGATATAAAATACCGAATCTGTATTTCAGTTACTGTAAGCCTTCACTATTCCTTTGTGCTGTACATTGTGGATTACATAAACATATTGCTTACCAACATGCATTACGATTAATCCTATACATGCAGATTTCCTTAATATGGTCAAAATATAGACTAGGTGTTACTTTGTTAGGCCTACTGTATATATTGTAATTCCCCCCAAAAAATATCAAATAACTACACGTTTATCGTTTTTACCTGTTTGTCGCGTGTTGTTTAAAAGTTTCCAAATTAATGTGAACCCATCACGATATACAGATAGATATATTTATAAACCGATGAAATGTTCTATTCTGTAGTCTGTGGCCATTGCTTCTGACATCTGAATATCAAATCATAACGAATATGACAGTGTTGATGTGATGTCTGGAAAGCGTTGATAGCAACAAGATAACAGAGTTTGTGTTCGACTCCTGTTTAACCTGTTATCTATCTGTGATGGGCATTCTTATGATTTTTCCATATTTTCTCTTCTTGTAACACCGAATAATCCAGTACACATCATAATTAGTAAATAAACAGTAATAATTCCTATCGTTGACGAGATCAAACTTGAACAGGAAGTGCAGATGGAATGCTCCAGTACGCATGCGCACAACTACAAGTTGTTGTAAAATCCTCACCGGAGTTCGGAACTGAAAATCCGATTTTTATCTACCAACTTGGCCCGTACCATCATGAAATGTTCTCATGCTCAAGCATGGATTTTGTGCTCAAGTCTAATTTATTGTTCTTGTTGTAACTTAATAATTAAATCTTGTTTTGTCAATGCTTTGGAAACATTTTGAAGAGACTTGAAGCTAACTACTGTTTCAGTGTTTACATTTGACTTTTTGATTGTTTTACACGATTTAAGCTAATAACAAGAAAGTTGGCTTGAGCACAGAATCCATGCTTGAGCATGAGAACGATTTCATGAATACGGGCCCTGAACATTAATATATAGGCCTACTTATTTTAGATATGTATATAATAATGCATCAATATGTGGTCATTGTGGTCTGATGAGAATTTCTAAATAAAACTGACGTCATCTGAAAAAAAGTACTCCATACACGGAATTAGATTAGAAAGTCCGGCCGTGCTCCAAGCGAATAACATTATATTTCACAACTTGACTTCGATGAACATGTATGTGCATGGGAACATGGCACAGACTGTAGCCAAGCCCATATTGTACAACTCTCAGACTAAGTTCCTTTTGTCAGCAATATTGAATTCAGTTATTACCCAGATCATAACGACACGCATGCTAATTGATCAACCTTCCTTTATCTATCCTTTATCTATCCTTTATCCTTTATCTATCCTTTATCTCATTTTCAAAAGACTTTCACATTAAAATTATAGAATTGCCAAATGAAAGATGATTAATTTATGAATATATAAATATATGTTATCTATCGGTATTTCACAACAAGTACAAAACAAGTTTTTCAACTAATATCAATCACTCTTGCATGCTATATATAGCCCAGAGACGCATAAAGCATGTAGTACATTATATAATACGTCTCTGGCTAGCTCAAATGTTAATGAGGGATGAAACTGAATTGCCCGCAATGAAACCCCGCATGGTCGGGAAATTGACCAAATGCCTTTTCGTGCCAGACCAGAGAATCGAATTTACAATTAAACTATGAAATCGATGACTATATAGATAGGTTATCAAATTTAATATTGTTTCATCGGTTGGAGCATAGTGGATAGCGCACTTGACTTTCACTAAGACGGCCACGGTTCCATTCCCCTATCGGACCCTACTCGGGCACGCAACTACTATTAATATTGACCTTGTTAGACTTTCAGTCGCTTGGTACGTTTTAAGTATTGGGATGTAACGTACCCAGCGACTGAAAGTCTAACAAGATTAATATTCAATAGTCAGAGTTGCGTGTCCCTGTGATCGGACGAGAAAAGGCAAGTCCCATCAGAACGAAAGAATCCTGTAAGTTTAATGCTCCTGGGTTTATCCTGCCGGGTGTCAGGACATTGAAATTAAGACAGTCTAGCGATCAAATTGTATTTTATAAGGCACACTGAAGTAAATCAAAGCTATAGATGAAAAAAAGGATCATTAACTCTCATTGCTTCTACATTTGAATCTCACACAAGTATCTGGATTAAGTACAACTCAGATTTATACACGTTATATTGCGGACTCGGTATGATAGAAAATACAGATCTGGAGCATAACACTATACATAGTTTCCTCTTCAATGCATTGTCAACGGAATTATACGAGATGCTTTCTAAGTCTGCATTCCCTATAACAAATATCTTCATTGCATTTGGAGTGCTAGAGCATTCGCTAACGATACACAATAAAGTCAATAGAACCTCGTTTGGAACGTAATAAACAAACCGCCCTATAATCGAAGAAAACTGCAATCGAGTGTCAGGCAAGGATGATCGTTTTGCCGATGTTAAAATTGATATAGAGGACTGAAATAACTATAAATGTGTAGTTAGAAAATGACTGATTCTCTCCTTTATACTGATTATGATATTTCGAACTAATGTATAGAGGTAATGTGTGGAATCCGGTTGTGACTAACGTTGTTCTTTGTCCATAAAGTAAAGATGCAATAAACATATATACCAATGAGGACACCATACTGGTGCAAAGCGTGCATTTGATACACGTACTAGTCACATACATAGAAACGCCGGTAATTGTGAGCTTGGGTTTCGATTTCGTCGGTTCGCTTCTTGCGTTCTACTTCCGGTCACTTTCGTCTTACTTAACTTAGCTAACACGGCGTTCATTGTTGAACATAACTGTAGATAAAGTCTGAGACTGGGACTGGGACTGATATTTTTTTAAGGTTAACTAGTTTGCGACCGTACCAATGAGCAAATCAAACCACGGAATATCCAATGGAATAAGACCAACAGACCAGACAAATGTGATTAGACCAACAGTCAGACCAATGGGATAGGACCAACAGTCAGACCAATGGGATAGGGCCAACCGTCAGACCAATGGGATTAAACCAACAGTCAGACCAATGGGATTAGACCAACAGTTAGTCCAATGGGATAAGACCAACAGTCAGACCAATGGGATTAGACCAACAGTCAGACCAATGGGATTTGATCAACAGACCAGACAATTGGGATTAGATCAACATACCAGACCAATGAGATTAGACCAACAGTCTGCCCAGTTGGATAACACCAACAGTCAGACCAATGGGATTAGACCAAAAGTACAGTCAGACCAATGGGATTAGAACAACATTCAGACCCATGGGATTAGAACAACAGTCAGACCCCATGGGATTAGACTAAAAAGATTAATTCGACCTGACCTCTAAGCGATGACCGCTTGTCGTCGACCTGACCGCTAAGCGATGACCGCTTGTCGTCGACCTGACCGCTAAGCGATGACCGCTGAGAAGTTTTCTGGTGCCATCAACCGTGACAAAAGTGACGCTATAACTAATAACTCCGAGCCCATAAGACCAGACGAAATAGACGAGTCAATCTTTTACTGCGTGCTTGGTAGACATGTCGTCCTAGAAACAATTAGACATGTGTTGACTGTACTCTATTGTTCTATTTTATCACATTTTTAGATAGACATTTTACGCTGGAATCTCTTTCTCATTAAAATCAAATTTTCCTGGATATTAGAAATACAAAAATGAAATTAATTAATTAAAAACATATATGTATTTCATGTACAAGCACACACACCCATTATATGATTTAGCATATGAAATGTTAATTGAATTGGAAAAAATGTAGTAACTGAAACATGTTGTGTGTAACTCAAGTCATTATGTTACGGTAATAACTCCATCACATCAACATCGAGCCTCATACATATTTCATGTCGCTCTGTCTCGTGTATAGGGACCAGGTACACACAAAACACCCTAGTGTAATTATATACTAATTAAATTAACGCTTCGACACACAATCGATACATTGTGTAAAACAAGGGTGGGTAAAATTGTTTGCGGTAGCGTTATTCAACCCTTTTCCACACACTCATATGTAAACATACGGGAGGCCGTTGGTTTCTTTGTAATACCAGTTTTGAGTTGGGTTCAATGTTTTTATCTTTTTCACAAGTGCGTTGAACAAAACATATTCAACCTACGAGTGAAATATAACTGTTAGGCCGTTGGTTTCTTTGTAATACCAGTTTTGAGTTGGGTTCAATGTTTTTATCTTTTTCACAAGTGCGTTGAACAAAACATATTCAACCTACGAGTGAAATATAACTGTTAGGCCGTTGGTTTCTTTGTAATACCAGTTTTGAGTTGGGTTCAATGTTTTTATCTTTTTCACAAGTGCGTTGAACAAAACATATTCAACCTACGAGTGAAATATAACTGTTATGCCGTTGGTTTCTTTGTAATACCAGTTTTGAGTTGGGTTCAATGTTTTTATCTTTTTCACAAGTGCGTTGAACAAAACATATTCAACCTACGAGTGAAATATAACTGTTATTCCTGAAGAAACCAAGAATAATCTATTATTACAAAATGTTGAGCTATTGTGACGTCACATTGAGCAATGATGTAAAATTATTTTCCGTCGGATGCTACACATATTTAACTAGTATGGCAGGATTGAAAATATCGGTATATTGGTTTATTTTAATGATGAATAGATGAAATGATATAATGATTAAGGCAAAGTTTTGAGCAATTAATACCCCACCAAATGCACAAAAATATGAGTGGTTCTGTAATTGAAATAACCTGCGTCTGTGAACGAATAGGTAAAATCTACACACAGAAAAATCGGGGAGCATATAGTTGCCGCTTTGCCGCCCATAAGATAACACAGTGAAATTTAAGGGGTAAGGTTCGTGTACGACGGCAAGACAGTGTGTCACATACCCTTATTGAGTCTGTATGACAATATCACATGGAGGTCAAATGTAAAAATTTGTCCGGGCCATAACTTTCTGAATGGCTGAATAGAAGTCATGGAAATCATGATCAGTCGAGTGGAAAGTTTGTGTGTCACGATCGCGAGTCCTTATAATTATTGGGTCTGTATTTCCAAGGTAAGGTCACTCTGAGGTCAACTGTCAAATTCATTGTCCGGGCCATAACTTCTTACTCGCTAAAAATAATTCAATAGAATTTAGGGATTTTTGTAGGATGGAAAGGCAGTGTGTCGACTACCACTTTAGGGTCTATGGGCCAAAGATCAATATCACCCTAAGGTCAAAGGTCAAATGTATTGTCCGGGCCCTGACTTAAAAGAATATAGAAAAGGAAAAAATGTTGCATTTATGCTTAGCGTACGTGATTATCAAGGGGCAGGGACGGGTATTCTAACGGACGAAACTTGAATGTAGTAATATGTTACTCTCATGGTCATTTTTCGAGTTTTATTCAAATTTTGCTGTTGGTAATCATGTACGCTTTAGCATAAATGCAACATTTTCAGTTTTCTGTCATTAGATATGGTCGGAGTGGGGATGGGTGGAATATCATAATATTTTTACATTCCCATTGCATGCTAACCGTATTTAAAGCTACGACAGTCACATTGCATTCATAGCACTATGAATGCAACGGGATTTGGCTTTCAGTACTAGTGCTTGTGAATGGAGGATTTCTTTTTATCGAATGTGATGATTTTGTAAGGATGGAAACTTTTTTGTCATGCTATGACGGTTTGAAACTCAAAGGCTCACCACACTTCCAAAAAAAAAAAGCAAATTTGATTGTGTCCACCAGAGACGTAAATGGCTCTATACGTATCTGTGTCCACTGAGTTTTTCTTAATCACCATTGATTGGGCTAAGCTTACAACACACAATAATTATTTAGAAACTTGAAAGGGACAAAATGTTAAAGAAACACGCAATGCTCGCATCAGGAAAATGCTATTTAGAGTTTTGAAATAATAACTTCATTGTACAGTTACATTATCTAGTTAAAAGTAAGATATATAATCAAAGAAAGACATTCAAATCGAATGCGCTTTTTCCCTGCGAAGAGTGACCTCCCTTGGATTTACGTCACTCGATAATGGCTGAAGCAAGATGAAGTAGGTGTGTACGGAAGTGAAAAAATCAGGTTTATGACACATGTTAAGTTATTTTAATTGTTTTGTGAGGTATAGCCTATCTGTCGGATTTAATCACACATATTAAGTCGTTTGAATGTATTCAAGTTTGCCGGTCATAATGTTAGCAGCGTTGTGTGATGTCTATCAGAACGGATAAAAATGTAAAGGCAACAGACGAAATGTTCTCAAATATTGTCTATCATATAGATAGTATTTGATTCGACCGCATGCATGGGAATTGTGAACTACTATTTAAGTTATTATAACATATATACTGTATATTAATGATATATCTCACCATCGCAGTGTTAAACGAAGCGACTATTATACACACGTGACGGTGACATTTAATTTCAATGACAGTTCCCAAAATAGCTATGTTTACATAGATTTCTGGTATCACCTGATCCTGATCTGCTATTTATAACTGATTTGGTGATTCAGGTAATTCTAAGAGACAGGAACTGGAAAGGTAACGTTGTTTGTTTTATCATTTGTTGGATTTCTCGTTTAAATCTGACATAAAAATTATAGATATATAATGCTCATTATAAATATAAATTTTCAACTATCAACTTGTAAGTTGATAAATTGAAAATTTATATTTATAATGAGCAAGTGACATGGTTAAAAGTGACAAGACTACCAACTAGAGCAATGGAGGCAGTTATCGACAGTCTAAGCGTCAAACTTGTTTTTCCAGTTTACCGTTTTGCGTAAGTTATTTTATGATGGCATTTCGAAGAAGTCGGGAAACGTACTCTATTTCATCATCTGCAATAAGCGTACATGTGACGAATCGCGGGAGAAATCATTGTTTTGGTGGCATTAATGACAGGGGCAGTTATCTACAGGTGGAGGTAGTTATCGACAGCTAAATTAAAATGTTAATTATTTCTATTATTAATCTCTCATAATACATTCATTTGTTCTGACGACTGTGTCCAATTGCTTAAAAAAGGTATAAACATGTCAAGTGATATGTCAAGTCATAAATGTAAACAAACACGCTCCCTTTTCTGCACGCATGCGCAAACAGTCACCGTCAAAGCATTTTGATCAAACACATTTTCTGGTTCCCTTTCAATATGGTGTCCCACCCCAATTTCATATTATTTTGATCCCCAGTGATGCATTCCAACAGCCCAAAAATTTTGAATTATGATGCATTTTATCCTACAATGATAGAGATCAGAAATTTAATTCAAGAAAACATAATTGAATCTTCTTAAAATAATCATTGTGGAAATGTTTTTAGGTTCTTAAGTTCACAAGATAATTAGTTATATACCTCCTGCCTAACAGAACAATTTTCATCAACATTTGATCTATGTAATTGATTACTTTTCGATATATATTATATTCTGTCTTTCTATGACTGCAGTGTCTTCAAATATTGATATTTTTCATAATTTGTAATTGCAGTTTATATTGAGCATATTTACAAGACTTATCTATATGGATTTTATTGAGAAATTTGGATTTTTTAGTATTTTAGTTTAGCAACACTATTGTTGTCGGGTACATGGTCTCACCTTTCACAATTCACGATATATATATATTGAAATCATACAGGCAACTTTGAAGCACAAGTCATTCATAAAAATATGCTTTTAATGGATAAAACAAAAATTAATTGGTATTTTTTCACATACTGACGATAACTACCTCCGATCCTCAAATTGCGGCAGTTATCGACAACCCTATTTCCGACCTTAACAATACCCCGGATGTAGATAATACGCTGACAAACGTTGCAGACGCTTCATGAGTGAAGTTGGATTACACCATTATGTGACAAATATTTCAGATAAAAATGTTATCAAAATTCGAAATGCCAAACATGTCTTATCGGAGCCCGTAAGGGTGGTCTAAAAACAGGATCGATGCTTCTCTTTGGAAAAAAAAAGTCCAGAAAATTTGTTTAACCGGTGTTGTCATGAATGGAACGGTTCCGAGGGATTCCGAAAAGTTAAGTGTACCTATCAAAAACACCGAGTGTCTGAAAAACGGTTTGTAATCGATCCAAAACGAGATGAATAGAACCGGGGGTCGATAATACCCCCCTGTCGATAACACCCTCCGTTGCTCTAGCAGTTTTGGCAATTGTTAAATATTATCATATTTGTATACTAACTTTTTGTGAAGTTATACTTTAATACATCTATATGGTTTCTTTTGATAATTGTTTAAATTTTACAAGTCTAACTGTAAGTATATATTTATATTAAACATTAAATGTTGGCTACTGTACGTATTCCATACACTGTTATAGTTGCCATGGCAATTGCAAGCACACAAGCAGTTCAACAACAAGCAACACTTCAGTTAATGAATTTATGCTTTCGTCATAATATGACATTTGACATGTTTTTATATTTGTACAGGGATGTGGCACAGATCCCCTCCCTAATATCTGCAAATCTGCAGTACTATATAACATATTTGTAGTAATATATGCCATCCACGATACTCCAGGGGTTACGCTCACTTTCGCTCTCTGCACCCCTGGAATATTATATGTCGTGGCAAAATCAAAGGCTCAGTGTGCGCCACCTTGTGGATGAAACGTGAAGCCCAGTTTGATCCTTTTATGTACATCAACAGATCATCGCAGTCGCCTAACAGTAAAATTGACTCGCTTTGGTGTTGCTCCTCTGTAATCTTCAAAAGCAGGCATCAGCTTAGCGATTGGTCAGATTTTTTTTACCTGAAACCATGCAATCAAATAGCTAGCCGCATGCCTTCAATTTTGCTATGACATATTCCATGGGTGCAGAGAGCGAAAGTGAGCGTAACCCTTGGAATATCGAGGATGGTGCCATATATGCATGCCCATGTGCTTTATAGTATGTTACAGAGGTTTCCTCAAGTTTCCTCATAAAACTTATCATTGATACTGATATTTAAACAGATAAATGTAGGAATCTAAATGTCAGGACTGCCAATTATCAAATTAGTTTAAACATAATATTTGCTATATATATATAAAGCAATGATCAGTCCATAGATAAGATTACTACAATACACCTATCGTATGATCCAATCTTTCTAGGACATCTTTTATTTATCACGTTACAAACGTTTGGACCTGTCAGTTGTTCCTTTATGAAATAAGAATGGACAATGTGATTTGATGTTGCTTTCTGGCCAGCCTTAGCATATATTATCAAGGCGTGTATTAACATTTGTAGGTCCGTCGGGCTTTATTTCTCAAATATTGCAATTAGAAATACATAAACCATGGCCAGTTTGTCCGCATAAGCAAACAGGCCCCGGATTTGGCAATTGTATTGAAATTATATATAACAATGTATATGTGCTCAACACATGGGTGAACCTTATTTATCATTTTCTTTTTCGATTCACAGGCTATGAAAGCAGTATACTAAGGATATAAACTTACCAGCAACTGGAACCTTAATACTGGTGACATCAAACATTATATCATTGACATTTGTTGAAATAAGGAGAAGAAATTACAGCTGATTGTCTTTAAAATATGGCGTCATATGGAAGAGGGGAGTTTGATGGCGGCTTTTCATCATATCAGTCAGGAAATAGATCAAGTAAGTAAACATATCTTGTAAAGTGTCTTCACTGATAATGATATCATTATGACTAGCTTAACATCACATGACTATTTGGAGACAATTAAAATTTTGTAAATGAAAGAATCATACGTACGCTAATTAAAAAAAAAAGGAAAAACATGTAACTGGTATCATTATTCCTGTACAGGTTGAATTGTCTGAACTTGATAACAAATCATATACGATTTTTGTCTATTTTAAAAAACACTGTAAATGTCCATGACTGTAACTGATTGGCTCATTAAATAATACTAATTGTGCTAAGGAATGTCTTGTACAGATCCTGTCAAAGAATATAATTGTAAAACATTTATAGATAGTATCTATAAATATTTCACAACTAATCTTTGATAAGATGAATACATTGTATATTATATGAACTTTTCAAATTCCATTCCAGCAGCCGGTGGTAGCAGCGAGTTTAACAGATTAGTAAATAGTATCAGTGGAAACATACAGAAAATCTCACAACATGGTAATTATACAGCTAATATATATACCGTAATGTTACTATAAATATGGTATAAGTGTAATGTTGATGTAAAGAAAATCTCACAACATGGAAATTATACAGCTAATATATATATATCGTAATGTTACTATAAATATGATGTAGGTGTAATGTTGATGTAGAGAAAATCTCACAACATGGTAATTATATATATAATTATACAGCTAATATATATACCGTAATGTTACTATAAATATGATATAAGTGTAATGTTGATGTAAAGAAAATCTCACTACATTGTAATTATACAGCTAATATATATATTGTATAATGTTACTATAAATATGATGTAGGTGTAATGTTGATGTAGAGAAAATCTCACAACATGGTAATTATACAGCTAATATATATACCGTAATGTTACTATAAATATGATGTAGGTGTAATATTGATGTAGAGAAAATCTCACAACATGGTAATTATACAGCTAATATATATATATCGTATAATGTTACTATAAATATGATGTAAGTGTAATGTTGATGTAGAGAAAATCTCACAACATGGTAATTATACAGCTAATATATATATATCGTATAATTTTACTATAAATATGATGTAAGTGTAATGTTGATGTAGAGAGAATCTCACAACATGGTAATTATACAGCTAATATATATACCGTAATGTTACTATAAATATGGTATAAGTGTAATGTTGATGTAAAGAAAATCTCACAACATGGTAATTGTACAGCTAATGTATATACCGTAATGTTACTATAAATATGGTATAAGTGTAATGTTGATGTAAAGAAAATCTCACTACATTGTAATTATACAGCTAATGTATATATTGTATAATGTTACTATAAATATGATTTAAGTGTAATGTTGATGTAGAGGTGATGAAACCTGTCTAAACTAGATAGGACTTGGACCAAAATATCTAGCCAGTTTATGCAGAGTCACGTGAAGGCTTGAATTGAGTTGGCGTTAACCCTTTCACCCCTATGTAACTCTAATAATTATATAACCTCTACCATAAATTGATCTGGATGAGTCCATTATGGTCTACAGTGTTGAAAGAATTAATACAAATGAATTCCTCATGCAAACATAAATATTCAACACAAAATACTGTTAATTTGTACACTAATCAATTTTGTATTGACTATAAATGCCAACTAAAACTGTTCAATGGATCTTTGCATATACTATAATTATTGTGATTGTTTTGTGGAGATGAGAGAAAGTGTCTACACATAAAAATAGTTATGAATCTGTGAATCAATTCAAATGTTTCAAACAATATTCAGTTAAGGCTGTTTACTCAAAGAACAAGACATTGCTAATATTATTAACATTTTAAAAAATAAACCAGAAATGACATCATGTCTCTGCCAAAATCATTTTTCTGTTTCTAGTAGTTTCTTTTGTACTAACACTTCTGGTAATATTTACATGTAGAACAATAGCTATATCTTTAATGATAATACTTTGAAGAGGACCTCTTCACCAATGGCAAATTTAAGGGTTTTTGTAACCTAAGTTTTCCAACAGCCGGTTCCTTTATGAATTGGGAAAACATAGCATCATTTGTATTGAAATTTTCCTCAGTTTTTGGTTATTTTGGGAAAATAGGGCACTTTTTAGTAAGGGGAAACAGGCTGTAATCAGCAGTAAAACTGAGCAAAAAAATCACCAAAAAATAAACATATTCTGCCATAAGTATTATAGTAACCATTGTTCACAGTTTCTAATGTTTACAGCGGTAACAAGAATTGTAATCATAGATAGTTAAATACAAAATGTTCTATTTATCTTTTAAACAGTGGCACAAATGCAAAGATCTGTCAACCAGATCGGAACCAGTCAAGACAATGAACAGCTTCGAGAGCAAATGTAAGTAACCAATTTAAAAACTTGTTACCTGTGGAAAACAAGTTTTCAGAAAGACGTTAAACAGATGTATGTCCTTGTTTGAAGCTCATTAAATTTGAGTACCTGAAACTACCATAGTATGTTGTATGCAAGCTGGTATATATAGGAAATGGTTTCTATTTTGTGCTGTACTCGTAGATACTATGGGTGTCAAATCTGAAACTTTACCCACTGCATCTATCTCTAATATTCTGCAAAAAATAGCAAATTGTCAAGAGTATTATTCTGTAAATTGGATTGTATATATTACTTGGCCCCTGTACTGATGAAAGTTTGATAATAAAGGCCTATTCAGTCTTTCTATAATTAATTTTGGAAAATTTAAAGAAGAAGGGCCGGGGTATCTTGTGGAGTTTTACTACTTGTCTTGACTGAAAATAGTCCCGCTGCTTATACATGTTAAAGTAGTCCAGGTGCTTAAATGAGAAATTGCCTGCCCTAAATATTTCCTTTGTAATCAAATGCAAAGGCAATTCTTTGGATTTTGACCAAAATTAATCAGTTGGGTGTATATTTCTCTCCACCAGTTCCTTCAAGGTCTTGGTGACAGTGAACTAAAAACTTTATAAGTACCCTAACTCTCGGTAGCCAGTTTTCTTGGTACAATGTATAGGGATATCACAAGATAGAATTCAGGTGACATTGGTTTATCCTTCAAATTGATGATAGTAACATATATTTAAAAATATATTGCTACTAATTATAAAATAAACTGTTGATGTTTTTCTCAGGCACCAGGCACAGGCCTACACCAACCAGCTGGCTAAAGATACAAATCATGATCTCAAGGAACTGGCCCATCTTCCCATGCCAGCATCAGAACAGGTACATTTTCAAACTTTGTATTGATTTTTGTACACTTCCAGTGTATGTGTAACAGGAGAAAGAGAAATGAAACGACTAGACTGGGGTTCGAAACCCGGGACTCACTGAACTTTAGACGGACACTCTAACCAATTGAGCTGCCTGGTCGACAATCGACCCAGTCCAGTTCGGCTAAATACGTAAGAATCTAATATGAACAAATCTGTTTTCCCCTAATAGGGGCAAGACATGTACATGTAGTGTCCAATACCTAATTCAGTTGTGCCATCTCTAGTGTCCATTATTAGCTCACCTGGTCCGAAGGACCAAGGTGAGCTTATGCCATACCGTGGGGTCCGTCGTCCGTCCGTCCGTACGTCAACAATTTCTTTAAACGCCTTCTTCTTCTTAACCACTGGTTGGAATTAAACTAAATTTGACTGGAAGCATCCCTAGGTGGTGGGGATTAAAAATTGTACAAATGGTGGGGCTGACCCCCCAGGGGGCTGAGGGGCGGGGCCAAAAGGGGGCAATTTGGTTATATTGCTATAAAACTTCTTCTGCAGAACTATGCCATGGATATTGATCATATTTGGTCGGAAGTATTCATGGGAGGCAGGGATTCAAAATTGTACAAATGGTGGGGCTGACCCCCCGGGCTAAAGGGTGGGGCCAGAAATAGTTTATTGCTTGGAAATGGTTGAGATCCCCACCATATAGCCATATATACAATTGCTGAGTATAAAGAGAAGAATGCACATTTGCTTCCAGTATGTCCCTAGGGTCTGGCCCCACCCTTGGAGACATAACCCCTGGGTCATAACTTTGAAATGGTTAATATCCCCACCCCAAAACTGTATATACAGTTGTTGGGCATAAAGAGACGAATGCAGTCATGATATTAGAATTGATCCCAGGGTCTGCCCCACCCTTGCAGACTTGGCCCCTGGGTCATAACTTTGAAACGGTTGAGATCCCCACCCCAAAACTATATATACAAATGCTTGGCAAAAAGAGACAAATGCAGTCACGATATTAGAATCGATCCTGGGGTCTGGACACAACTCTAGGGACCTAGTTTCTGAGTCAAAGCTTGGAAACAGTTGAGATCCCCACCCCATAACCATACATAAAATTGCTGGGCATGAAAAATCTAATATAGCTATGCTACAAGGATTGGCCTTGGGGTCTGGCATATTCCCTTGTTACATTTCAGATGTGCCAGCTATATATATGGGCTATATGGAGAAAAGCATGGTTTTCAGTGTAATCAATGTGCTCTAAAAGTGCCTGTGATTTGAAATGTTCCTGTTCTTGTGTGTTTGTGTGTAAACAATACTCAGCTTTTCTCTCTTTTAGTTGTGCTGTATTATAATAATGAGATATCTTTTATCTCTAACACATACATGTAACAGAACACTTGTTGTTTTATTTTATAGAGCAAATGGAGAATGCAGAAAGACAGACTTACAGACGAATTCAGTAATGTTCTGAAAAACTTCCAAACTGTTCAACGATCTGCTGCAGAGAAGGAAAAAGCTAGTGTAGCAAGAGCCAGGGCTCACTCCAGTTCTACCGGACATGTGAGTAGAGAGTGTTAGTTAGGTAGTGGGTGGTATATATGTAGTCAGTGTGAGGGCTCATTCCAGCTCTACCGGACATGTGAGTAGAGAGTGTTAGCTAGGTAGTGGGTGGGATATATGTAGTCAGAGTGAGGGCGCATTCCAGTTCTACCGGACATGTGAGTAGAGAGGGTTAGTTAGGTAGTGGGTGGTATATTTGTAGCCAGAGTGAGGGCTCATTCCAGTTCTACCCACCCCATAACCATACATAAAATTGCTGGGCATGAAAAATCTAATATAGCTATGCTACAAGGATTGGCCTTGGGGTCTGGCATATTCCCTTGTTACATTTCAGATGTGCCAGCTATATATATGGGCTATATGGAGAAAAGCATGGTTTTCAGTGTAATCAATGTGCTCTAAAAGGGCCTGTGATTTGAAATGTTCCTGTTCTTGTGTGTTTGTGTGTAAACAATACTCAGCTTTTCTCTCTTTTAGTTGTGCTGTATTATAATAATGAGATATCTTTTATCTCTAACACATACATGTAACAGAACACTTGTTGTTTTATTTTATAGAGCAAATGGAGAATGCAGAAAGACAGACTTACAGACGAATTCAGTAATGTTCTGAAAAACTTCCAAACTGTTCAACGATCTGCTGCAGAGAAGGAAAAAGCTAGTGTAGCAAGAGCCAGGGCTCCCTCCAGTTCTACCGGACATGTGAGTAGATAGTGTTAGTTAGGTAGTGGGTGGGATATATGTAGTCAGAGTGAGGGTTCATTCCAGTTCTAACAGACATGTGAGTAGATAGTGTTAGTTAGGTAGTGGGTGGTATATATGTAGCCAGAGTGAGGGCTCATTCCAGTTCTACCAGACATGTGAGTAGATAGTGTTAGTTAGGTAGTGGGTGGTATATATATAGTCAGAGTGAGGGCTCATTCCAGTTGCACCGGACATATGAGTAGAGAGTGTTAGTTAGGTAGTGGGAGGTATATATGTAGTCAGAGTGAGGGCTAATTCCAGCTCTACCGGACATGTGAGTAGAGCGTGTTAGCTAGGTAGTGGGTGGTATATATGTAGTCACATGTGAGTAGAGAGTGTTAGCTAGGTAGGGGGTGGTATATATGTAGTCAGAGTGAGGGTTCATTCCAGGTCTACCAGACATGTGAGTAGATAGTGTTAGTTAGGGAGTGGGTGGTATATATGTAGTCAGAGTGGGGGCTCATTCCAGTTCTACCGGACATGTGAGTAAAGAGTGTTAGTTAGGTAGTGGGTGGTATGTATGTAGTCAGTGTGAGGGCTCATTCCAGCTCTACCCGACATGTGAGTAGAGAGTGTTAGCTAGGTAGTGGTGGTATATATGTAGTCAGAGTGAGGACTCATTCCAGTTCTACCGGACATGTGAGGAGAGAGTGTTAGCTAGGTAGTGGGTGGGATATATGTAGTCAGTGTGAGGGCTCATTCCAGCTCTACCCGACATGTGAGTAGAGAGTGTTAGCTAGGTAGTGGTGGTATATATGTAGTCAGAGTGAGGACTCATTCCAGTTCTACCGGACATGTGAGTAAAGAGTGTTAGTTAGGTAGTGGGTGGTATGTATGTAGTCAGTGTGAGGGCTCATTCCAGTTCTACCGGATATGTGAGTAGAGAGTGTTAGCTAGGTAGATTTTAGGTAGTGGGTGGTATATATGTAGTCAGAATGAGGGTTCATTCCAGTTCTACCAGACGTGTGAGTAGATAGTGTTAGTTAGGTAGTGGGTGGGATATATGTAGTCAGAGTGAGGGCTCATTTCAGTTCTACCGGACATGTGAGTAGAGAGGGTTAGTTAGGTAGTGGGTGGTATATATGGAGTCAGAGTGAGGGCTCATTCCAGTTCTACCAGACATGTGAGTAGGTAGTGTTAGTTAGGTAGTGGGTGGTATATAGGTAGCCAGAGTGAGGGCTCATTCCAGTTCTACCCACCCCATAACCATACATAAAATTGCTGGGCATGAAAAATCTAATATAGCTATGCTACAAGGATTGGCCTTGGGGTCTGGCATATTCCCCTGTTACATTTCAGATGTGCCAGCTATATATATGGGCTATATGGAGAAAAGCATGGTTTTCAGTGTAATCAATGTGCTCTAAAAGGGCCTGTGATTTGAAATGTTCCTGTTCTTGTGTGTTTGTGTGTAAACAATACTCAGCTTTTCTCTCTTTTAGTTGTGCTGTATTATAATAATGAGATATCTTTTATCTCTAACACATACATGTAACAGAACACTTGTTGTTTTATTTTATAGAGCAAATGGAGAATGCAGAAAGACAGACTTACAGACGAATTCAGTAATGTTCTGAAAAACTTCCAAACTGTTCAACGATCTGCTGCAGAGAAGGAAAAAGCTAGTGTAGCAAGAGCCAGGGCTCACTCCAGTTCTACCGGACATGTGAGTAGATAGTGTTAGTTAGGTAGTGGGTGGGATATATGTAGCCAGAGTGAGGGCTCATTCCAGTTCTACCAGACATGTGAGTAGGTAGTGTTAGTTAGGTAGTGGGTGGTATATATGTAGGCAGAGTGAGGGCTCATTCCAGTTCTACCAGACATGTGAGTAGAGAGTGTTAGTTAGGAAGTGGGCGGTATATATATAGTCAGAGTGAGGGCTCATTCCAGTTCTACCAGACATGTGAGTAGAAAGTGTTAGTTAGGTAGTGGGTGGTATATATGTAGTCAGAGTGAGGGTTCATTCCAGTTCTACCAGACATGTGAGTAGATAGTGTTAGTTAGGTAGTGGGTGGTATATATGTAGTCAGAGTGAGGGCTCATTCCAGTTCTACCGGACATGTGAGTAGAGAGTGTTAGTTAGGTAGTGGGTGGTATATATGTAGTCAGAGTGAGGGCTCATTCCAGTTCTACCGGACATGTGAGTAGAGAGTGTTAGTTAGGTAGTGGGTGGTATATATGTAGTCAGAGTGAGGGCTCATTCCAGTTCTACCGGACATGTGAGTAGAGAGTGTTAGTTAGGTAGTGGGTGGTATATATGTAGCCAGAGTGAGGGCTCATTCCAGTTCTACCGGACATGTGAGTAGAGAGTGTTAGTTAGATAGTGGGTGGTATATATGTAGTCAGAGCCAGGGCTCATTCCAGTTCTACCGGACATGTGAGTAGAGAGTGTTAGTTAGGTAGTCGGTGGTATATATGTAGTCAGAGTCAGGGCTCATTCCAGTTCAACCGGACATGTGAGTAGAGAGTGTTAGTTAGGTAGTGGGTGGTATATATGTAGTCAGAGCCAGGGCTCATTCCAGTTCAACCGGACATGTGAGTAGAGAGTGTTAGTTAGGTAGTGGGTGGTATACATGTAGTCAGAGTGAGAGCTCATTCCAGTTGTACCGGACATGTGAGAAGAGAGTGTTAGTTAGGCAGTGGGTGGTATATATATAGTCAGAGTGAGGGCACAATCCAGTTCTACCGGACATTTTAGTAGAGAGTGTTAGGTAGGTAGTGGGTGGTACATATGTAGTCAGAGTCAGGGCTCATTCCAGTTATTCCGGACATGTGAGTATAGAGTGTTAGTTAGGGAGTGGGTGGTATATATATAGTCAGAGGGAGGGCTCATTCCAGTTGCACCGGACATGTGTGTAGAGAGTGTTAGTTATGTAGTGGGTGGTATACATGTAGTCAGAGTGAGAGCTCATTCCAGTTGTACCGGACATGTGAGTATAGAGTGTTAGTTAGGCAGTGGGAGGTATATATATAGTCAGAGAGAGGGCTCATTCCAGTTGTACCGGACATGTGAGAAGAGAGTGTTAGTTATGTAGTGGGTGGTATACATGTAGTCAGAGTGAGTGCTCATTCCAGTTCTTCCGGACATGTGAGCAGAGAGTGTTAGTTAGGTAGTGGGTGGTATATATGTAGTCAGAGTGAGGGCTCATTCCAGTTGCACCGGACATGTGAGTAGAGAGTGTTAGTTAGGTAGTGGGTGGTATATATATAGTCAGAGGGAGGGCTCATTCCAGTTCTACCGGACATGTTAGTAGAGAGTGTTAGTTAGGTAGTGGGTGGTATATATGTAGTCAGAGTGAGGTTTCATTCCATAAATTATCATTTATATTATAATATTTTTTTTGGCAGGGCTTTAATGACTTCAGTGACATTAGACCAGAGGAACAACAGACAACCCCTGGGTATGTAAAGGGTCACTCAACCATACCTGCACATAAAACATATAAACAAAATTGTATCAAAGCTAAACTCAATCTATTAATGTAACTATTTGGAGTTTAAACAAGTTTTGTCTTATCCAGAATTTAAATTGTCAAAAAAAAATATCTTTGTACATAAGCAAATATTGAAAAATCCTATTACAAGAGGTTATGTAAATGTCCCCCAAACAGTTTGATTCCCTATAGCTAGTTACTCTCAATTTGTTTAACTAAATGCAATATATAAAGGCTTTTAACTGAGTTTTGGTTCATTAGATATTTATGAAACAAAATAATGCAGTTTTCAGATTAGTGAGGCTCTGCCAAGTTGAAATGAAAACTTCAAAAAGAGTGTACTAAATCTCATTTGAAATGAAAGCCAAATAAAGGTCCTTTTTATCATACATAACAAAGAATTTTTAGTCAATATAGAAAAAAAAATAGTACCTTTTTTTCTTTGCCCAACTTTAATGGTACATTGAAATTGAGAAAGAAATGTTGATTTCAAACATAAAAAAAAATGAGGATGAAAAATTGAGTCTGTCCATAGTAGGGAGACAACTATTAAAGTCTATGATGTCAATCTGAGGTCCCAACTTTGATGTCATCTCATTGTTAATCTGCTTGTCTTGTAACAATTGAAAAATCTCAATTACACAAGTTACATTCAGTAATTTACACAGTAAATATGATAACAAGCAAATATATGGAATTTTGGAATTGAAGAAGCAAATTGTTTAATATGTCCTAGTCAAAGGATGTTGTGGAAACATCTAGATTTATTTGTAAAGAACTTCATTAATGAATCTTATCAAAAAATCATCTTTCCATTTTGGTGCAAGCCAATGATATAAGGGAGGTAAATCCACATCGTGTGGGAAAAGTTCTCTCCCTTATCTCAATAAACATCAAAAAAGTTTTTTGCCATAGATGAAATAGGATTATAATATCTGTTTAATGTATTAATTAAATTTGTATTTATTAAAAGGGTACTATTTTGTGATATTAATACATGTTGTTGACATGTAATAGAAATTTTTTTTTAAACTGCATACAATGTTTGCAAAATATATATGATTGATCTAATTTACACTATATTGAAGTTATGTAGAGGTCAATTGATACAGAAGCTGTAGTGAAACATTGAATTCATGATTTTTCCAGATTTTCCCAGACACGTCAAATTTTACAAACAGAAGAAGATGTTGATCTGGAAATGTTGCAGGAACGTGAAGATTCCATTAAAAAATTAGAGGTAAAGTTCTGTTCTGTGACATTACCAGGCTTATCTGTATTGGGGTCAGTGTGCTTGGTGTATCTGTGACATTATCAGGCTTATCTGTATTGGGGTCAGTGTACTTGGTGTATCTATGACATTATCGGGCTTATCTGTATTGGGGTCAGTGTGCTTGGTGTATCTGTGACATTATCAGGCTTATCTGTATTGGGGTCAGTGTACTTGGTGTATCTGTGACATTATCAGGCTTATCTGTATCGGGGTCAGTGTGCTTGGTATATCTGTGACATTACCAGGCTTATCTGTATTGGGGTCAGTGTGCTTGGTATATCTGTGACATTACCAGGCTTATCTGTATCGGGGTCAGTGTGCTTGGTATATCTGACACATTACCAGGCTTATCTGAATCGGGGTCAGTGTGCTTGGTATATCTGTGACATTATCAGGCTTATCTGTATCGGGGTCAGTGTGCTTGGTATATCTGTAAATTTTTACTTAACCTCATACATGTACATAGACACTACAACATAAAAGGCGTGGGCTTCTTGTTATTGAAGAGAGACCAGAAGTCCCTCACCCCGTGTGGTATTGTTCTGTCCAATATTGTGTTTTGTATTGTGACTATACAATTACAAGACTAACAAGATTTCCTTTCATCCTTCTTCTTGAGGAATCTGGTGTCTTTTTGATACCAAGATCTGGTGTTGAATTAATGATGATATTTTATTTACCTAACACTTACAATTACCTTCTAGCTAAAAAACTGAACACACAAAAAAAGTTTGATACCACAAAATTGAAATACTGTATAATGTTATTTCCACAGTTTCAGTAAATTTGATATCAATCAAATTTATCCTTAAGTCGGTTTTCTTTCTCTTCCATCATTTCTGCAGTTGCACTTGTTATAATTATGCAGATCAACTCTTGAATTAAAATAGTGTTTCATCTGCCACTGGCAAGAACTCACTATCCCATTAATTCAGGAAAATCACAGGTTTATGTAATTAATACCAAACCCTGTTAGTGTAATAGACTGAATATAAAGTAAGGTACAGGTCTGAAAAAATTGCTTTTATCTGACTATTTGTTAATTTGGAGAAACTGGTTTTACACATATTTTAAACACTGGAAACCTACAATTTGAATATTTCATTTTCAGAGAGATATTGTAGACGTTAACCAGATTTTCAAAGATCTTGGTATGCTCGTACATGAACAAGGAGAAATGCTAGGTAAGATTGTCAGATAATGTCAAATATATTGAAAACAAAGATAACTTCTGCTACCAGTAGTTGACAGAAACTGTTGCTTTGGAGTAGATTCCATCATTGCGTATTACAGAGTTATCTTCTCCTGTGAGCAGGTATTGATTGTTACGTCATTGGTTTGTGTGGGAAAATTACGTCGTTTTCTCAAAATTTGATGGCGTTATTCTCACAAACCAATGACGTAACACTCAATACCTGCTAACAAGAGCAGATAACTCTGCAATACGCAAGGACAGAATATTCACACTGTGATATCTTTATTGGAATTGTCGGTAAACTATGGTTAACCACCAGATAATTGGAAATGTGTAGCTTTAAATGGTGTATTTAATTACCAGTACTATACTGACTATTTTCACTGCTATTCTATATGTATTTCATTACAGGTACTACCTGTATAGTTGTAAATTTTGCGGGGTTTAAATTTTTCGCGGTTTTGTGTGCAGAAGTTATTTGTAGGGGTTTAATTTTTCGTGAATCACAATTTCTGTAAGTCTATTTTGGAACACCTAGTAAAGAGTTCCAAGTGTTTGTTACTACTAACAAGGAGCAGGTATGCAGCTTAAACACGGTGTGTATATTTGATGTTTATAAAGCACAACAAGATGAAGAGTTCCGTGTGATGGCGACGATCTCAAAATATACAGGAAGGTTTTAATTTCACAAATTTTAACGCATTCATGAAATTCATGAAATTAAAACTCGTTAATATTAGCAACTGTACTGTGTACAGACTATTTTCACGGCTATTCTGTATCTTTGTTGTTGTGGCTTTCAGACAGTATAGAGGCTAATGTGGAGAGTGCCCAGATCAGGGTCGAGGAGGGAACACAACAGTTGTCAAAAGCCAGAGATTACCAGGTATGCTTTCTTCCTAGCCAAGTTCCCGTCCTTAATGTGCACGGTTTTGTGGTTTTTAGTGATGATTATGTTAAGTGTTTTGATGATTTTAATTTGTGATGAAAATCCTCTTATGGAAACCTTCCTTACATTTCTGAAAATATCTAAAGTGATTAGTTATAGAAGGTCTCCAGAATTAACTCCATGTATGTTGTGTGAGGCGCTTAGACAAGTCATGTGATATAACACACATATAAAGGATCCCTGACCCACTGCACTGCCATTTTTCCTATACATAGTAACCTCCCCTTAACTTCCGTTACAGCAATAGTATTGAAATTTAAAGTCAAGGGTTTGAATCCTAGTCTAGCCATACTTGCCGACCCTCCCAATTTAGGCGGGAGCCTCCCGATTTTTAACCCCCTCTCCCACCTCCAGACCGTATTTGTCAAAATTGGGAAATCTCCCGATTTTGGAAAACCCCTCATGTTATATATAGTCTAGCCCTGCTGATTTTTTTACACTTCAAACACTCTTGATTGTATATTATTTCGTCTTTATTATTTTCATAAATGTCTTGCAAGGTATGTTTTTCTTTACAGAAATGATTAAGCAAGGTCTTAGTCATGCTTAAAAATACAGTCTAATACTTTGTAACAGTTTTTGGCAGTGGTACGGGTTTTTGGCAGTGGCATGGGGATCCTTAAGTCAAACACATAGTGTACAATTACGCAGGTGTACTGCTCATTTCATAGATGAATTTTCTGTAAACTCTTTCCGTACCGTTGTCGTGTACAAACAACAACAACAATATGTGCTTCTTGGTCCCCATTGTCGAGTACAGACGTCTATGAACAAGGACATGAAACAATAACGACATTGGTTCACGTTACTGGTTTATTTCTTGCAGCAGTTACACCTTGCTTAAAAAATACATTGATAATCCACCATTTTGTTAAATAATCCGGTACAAAAAGAGTTAATCTAGTTTCTTCTAGAAGTTTCTTTTGATTTGTGATGAAGTTACATAAAAGTTCCTACTACCCCCAATTTTATTACCTGTGAAAACCCTCTCAAAATACACTGCTTATGTTGTTGAGTTTTCCTCCCCACATTTGCAACAATTGTTTGTGAAGACTGAATTATGATGTGTATTTTGTTGTTGTCAGTGTACATGTGTTAGCATGAATTTATGAAAAAATGTTCCGGGAGGATTTATCTATGTGTTGGTTTATAGTTTATTTTAGTTCATTTAGAGAGTCCCAGTGCTTCCATTATCTCCAATAATGAAGAGTTCCAAAATAGATGGATTGATTAAAATATCCTTTTTCATAAAGACATCTCTGCCACAGATATTTGATCCACATACTGTTTTATTATAAGGCATGAACTATTCGTTGCACCAGTGAGGATATTTCTTATGTTGATACTTTTTTTGCAAGATTACAGGGCATAATTTGGATTAATTCTATCTTTCTTGAAAGGCTTGCAACCATTACAGGCGCGTAACAACCTATGTAGCAAAAAAGCCCGGGCTTACACATCATTTTTGACAAAATAAAAAAAATATAAACGCAACATAGACTATATGATATAAAATATTAAAAAGCAATGACAGATGTTTTGTATCTGATATAAAGACCGCCAACTAAAATGCTTTGTTGCAATCAAAGTCTCTAACAAATGTAGAACTGAGGGTAGCATATTCATTCGGCATGGTAATCGCGCCAGTGAAACTCTAGTCTTGCTAATTATTGGTGTACCCAAACACTAACTCTAGTTTTCCCCGTGAAATAAAGTGTTTCTAAGTTTTTTTACCGCTTTAATACATATAAAGGGAACACTATGGTTGGTAGCCTGGCTTCAATCATTTGACATGGTAACCGTGTCAGTGCAACTCTAGCTATGCAAATTATTGGTATACACATAGTACTCACTAGCCGCCGCCCCCCCCGTGAAATAAACTGTTCCTATGATTTTTATCCCCTTTATTAATACAAAATACATATGGAATGGTCATAAACCATGGCTTTATATTTTACACATTGACCAGTATATCGGTTCATATGTACATAATGTTAAACTATTCCTAGTGCTAGTTTGTGATACTAGTCTCATATCCCTGCGCAACCGGAGTCACAGTCGCGAGGAGAAAAGTCACACTCTTACAACAACTATCCCAAAATCCACATGATTTTAGATTTTTCTTTTCCGTGGAATAATGTTACCAAACTCCATAATAGAATTGGCGAAGATGAGTACCAATCCCTACGTATCCAAAAAGAAGCAAAATATTTGTAAAATAATAGGGGAAAACAATATTTTCTTGCTTTAAAATGGCCATTAAAACTGACACCAGAACAAGGGAGAACGCGTCTCATGTGTTCTAGAAAACAAAATTCTCCTGGGGATACCTAAAGATATCCCCCAGGAAAACCCCCTCACATACCCTCCCCCTCCTCGCGCTGCGCGCTTCGGGGTGCTGCCTTCGGCAGCACACTTCATCATTGGGCTTACACATTGAAAACCCGTTTGCTACGCCCCTGCATTAATGATTTTCTTTGTATGTTTTTAGGCAAACTAACATAAGGAAAAAAAAGAAAAAAAAATATTTCTTAATAATTTGATCATAAGTTGTGGTAGGTTTGTATAGTAGAGAAGTGATGAGACTCCCTACCATAATTGATATTGTGTGTGATTTTAAGCTCACCTGGTCCGAAGGCTGTGGTGCGTTATCCGTCTGTCCATCATCCGTCCGGTGTCCGGCATCTAAAAAAAATCTTTAAACAAATTCTTCGGAATAACTAAGAGGCCTAGGATAATGATATTTGGCCAGTAACATGATTGGATGAAGGGCTACCAAGTTTGTTCAAATGAATGACCTTGACATATATTCTAGGTCACAGGGGTCAAATATCTTTAAAACCTTTAAACAACTTCTTCGGAATAACCAGAAGGCCTAGTATGATGCTATTTGGCCAGTAGCATGATGTGATGAAGGACTACCAAGTTTGTGGAAATGAATGACCTTCGCAAATATTCAAGGTCACAATGGACAATTTATGTTTAAATCTTTAAATGACTTGTTTTTTATAACCAAAAGGTCCAGGGTAATGATATTTTGCCAGAAGCATGCTGGGTTGGAAGACTATAACCTCTGTTCAACCTAAAGTCCTTTTTCGACATTCAAGGTCACAGGCGTCATATGTTTAAATATTTTAATAGGTTCTTATGAATCAAACACTGATATTCTGCCTGGCCGGTAGCTGTATTTTTGTCCACTTTTAAGATAACAAGTGTGAGATTAATACCAGATGAGCGATCCATGCCCACTGGGCCTCTTGTAGTTGTGTTTCTTAATGTTGTAAACTTTGATTTATTTGCATTATTGTGTTTTTATTTTCCATTCTTTTTCACTTGCTTTATTTTCAGGGAAAAGCAAGAAGAAAAAAGTGCATATGTGTAATAATTCTACTCGTAGTTCTAGCAGTAATAGGCATTATACTCGGTATCACTCTTTCAAATAAAAATTGAGGTAGGTATTTTTCTTTACATCGTAAATACAACTTACATCACAGTGATATCTTCCTTTACTATCTATTGAGACAGAAGTAGATATTGTAATCATGCCTATCTATTGAGACTGAAGTAGATATTGTGATCATGTCAATCTATTGAGACTGAAGTAGATATTGTGATCATGTCAATCTATTGAGACTGAAGTAGATATTGTGATCATGCCTATCTATTCAGACTGAAGTAGATATTGTGATCATGTCTATATATTGAGACTGAAGTAGATATTGTGATCATGTATATCTATTGAGACTGAAGTAGATATTGTGATTATGTCTATCTATTGATACTGAAGTAGATATTGTGATCATGTCTATCTATTGAGCCTGAAGTAGATATTGGGATCATGCCTATCTATTAAGACTGAAGTAGATATTGTGACCATGTCTATCTATTGAGACTGAAGTAGATATTGTGATCACGTCTATCTATTGAGACTGAAGTAGATATTGTGATCACGTCTATCTATTGAGACTGAAGTAGATATTGTGATCACGTCTATCTATTGAGACTGAAGTAGATATTGTGATCATGTATATCTATTGAGACTGAAGTAGATATTGTGATCATGCCTATCTATTCAGACTGAAGTAGATATTGTGATCATGTCTATTTATTTAGACTGAAGTAGATATTGTGATCATGTCTATCTATTGAGCCTGAAGTAGATATTGGGATCATGCCTATCTATTAAGACTGAAGTAGATATTGTGACCATGTCTATCTATTGAGACTGAAGTAGATATTGTGATTATGTCTATCTATTGAGACTGAAGTAGATATTGTGATTATGTCTATCTATTGATACTGAAGTAGATATTGTGATCATGTCTATCTATTTAGACTGAAGTAGATATTGTGATCATGTCTATTTATTTAGACTGAAGTAGATATTGTGATCATGTCTATGTATTGAGACTGAAGTAGATATTGTGATCATGTCTGTCTATTGAGACTGAAGTAGATATTGTGATCACGTCTATCTATTGAGACTGAAGTAGATATTGTGATTATGTCTATCTATTGATACTGAAGTAGATATTGTGATCATGTCTATCTATTGAGTCTGAAGTAGATATTGTGATCATGTCTATCTATTGAGTCTGAAGTAGATATTGTGATCATGTCTATCTATTGAGGCTGAAGTAGATATTGTGATCATGTCTATCTATTGAGACTGAAGTAGATCTTGTGATCATGTCTATCTATTGAGACTGAAGAAGATATTGTGATCATGCCTATCTATTGAGACTGAAGTAGCGATTGTGATCATGTCTATCTATTGAGACTGAAGAAGATATTGTGATCATGCCTATCTATTGAGACTGAAGTAGCGATTGTGATCATGTCTATCTATTGAGACTGAAGTATATATTGTGATCATGTCTATCTATTGAGACTGAAGTAGATATTGTGATCATGTCTATCTGTCTGTCTTGTCATTATGGTTTTCACATATTAACTTCAGCTGTTGAAGACCTGTTAAAGTCAAACTTCACACACTGATTTTTCACTTAAAGGGCTTGTCTTGGAAGGCTTTTAAGGTCTGAAGGTCAAAGGTCAAGGTCACTGGGCTGATACAGTTTTAGCACTGATACTTCTTACACCGTTTCTTATGGGAATCACTTGCATGGAATGGCTTTGTAGGTCTAGGGCTGATAGTATACATGCCAGATCTCGCGCCGTGAAGCAAAATCTCACAGATTTTCACATCCGATAAAATCTCATGGCATGGGACATGAATTTATGGAAAGTCCTCAAACCCTCACGTTTTTTAATGATCGATCGGTGAACCATTTTCCTGTTGTTGTTTACTCGAAGTCTTACGAGATTCCACAATGTTATCAGCGATAAATCACGATAGCTCCTGAGTAGCGGTCATGTGACATCGTACACTGTTTCCTTATAGAAAGGGTTTGCTTTGGATTGCTTTTCATGTTCAAAGGTAAAAATCACTAAGTATTGATAGGAAAACAAGATTCCACACAATATCTGATGTCAGCTGATAGCTCTCAATCTACATATTGCTTGGAATGGCTTTTCAGTTTTGAAATCAAAGGTCAAAGTCACCATTACTGTAAATTGTGATTTCATTCTGCACCATGCAAAGGACTTGATGTTAAAAAATAAAATCCTATCATCTCTCAACTTCAGCATTGATCGGGGTATACTTATAGATTTGATGCCTGAAGCCTATCAGAAATGATCAGCTGTAATGTAGAGAGCCTTTTCAAGGTTAAACCTCTGAGGCATGGGTTCGACTACCCTCACCTAGACAGGAATTTCAATGCCTACTAATGGGAAATAGTTTATTATTTTATCCTTTCTGAAACCTCTTTAAGAAGTGCGTGCTTTTTGTTTTATATTTACTTTTAATGTTGTTTTTTGAAATTCATGTTTTACAATGACTTAGACATAGAATGCATAGTCATGCAATAGTTTTTGTTTATAGATGATTGGTATACAAGTTCAGATATCGTCAGATGACTTATTTCCGACTGAAAAATTACCAGTAGCTATTTGTTTGTTGTTAATGGCCTTCGAGAGGACTAAAGAGTGTTATAAAATGTTGAGATGACAACAAAGATTTGTTCATTTGAAGTGTAAGGTATTGTAAAATTCATGCTGTGAATTCAGGCTGATCCATTTTGGGGACTAGCAAATTCATTTATTTTGTCTGGGCTTTGGGTGATCATTTCCGTTGTAAAAACACCTTTTGGGATTTTCCTTTGAACGTAACCGTAAATAAATAAAAATCATCCTCTGAACTTACAAGCAGTAAAGAAAATGATGTTAGGTAATCCTGTTTTAGTTATTCTCATCTTGGACTGGAAAAAATTAATAGGTCATCACCATTTTTGACACATGCGTTGCCTTTACTGTTGATTTTTGAATCCACATCATTCTGTTCCTGTCATTTTATGTGTTTTATTTTGTATAATACACGTTAATATAAATAAAATGATGTGCTGGTGTTAGTCCCAGCTCAGCAGGATGAAATTACTTATAAATCTTCAAATTGTTGTTCATAAATGCCTTCAAGCTTATTGATGTAGCCTAGATATTTATAATTGCACAAATTGTCTTCCTTTTGTTTTTTTCAGCATAAATCCCGTCGAAAAAAGTGTATTATCTTTGTCATCGTACTAGTGGTTGTGATATTCCTGAGCTTGATTATCTGGGCAGCCACCAAGTCCGACTGATGTTATCCGTGTGCCATGCAGACTCTTCAACAGTGCGTGACAGCTAGGTGGACTAAAGCAGTGCCAGGGAGGAACGCAACAAGTACAGATTCACTTCCTGGAGGAGGAATCAGTTTTTCCTGATTTAACTTTTAAGAATTTAAATAAGGACCTTTATGAACTAAAAAGGAAACAATATTACATAAAAAAATTACTTCATGATCTCATTGACATTTGTATTAGATTTTATGAATGTCCTTGGTGTTGTTTAATGATTTGTCTGTTAACTTTACTAGGTTGTATGTTTTGTTGAATTTTTTCAAATTTTAAAGCAATGCAGACTGACTTAAAGTACTTTGTTATTGAAACTATTGATCACAAAAATGCAGCTCCTATGGAGCATGTTTATTTAACTGGTTTGCAAAAGGATGGAAAATATACAAGGTTTCAAATTTTCAACCTTTGTTTTGATGTTTCCATGATACAATATAGCATTAGAGCTTTAAACATTTAATGCCTCAAAAACATTTGTACAACCATCGACTGGTGCGCAAGTTCTGTAAATTGAATAAAAGGTTTTAATGAAATTATATTTAAATCACTGTAAGCATTTTATTTTCTGTACTTCTGTTCCGAGTAGTTCGGTTATCCGCAAAAAAATGTCTCGCCTTCTGAACCATTAACTTTGGAGTTAACAAAACTAACCATAGAAATATTCAATGTTAAGGAACTGTTGTTGCATCACGTTATCTCCCTTAGTCTTCTCTTGGAATTCTGGATTATCGCACCTTTCTGTTTTAAGGATGTACATTGTCATGTGTCAATCTTAATAATACCAAATATTTGATGATCTAAAACATTTACATCACATCGGCAGTTTTTATAATGAAACATTGTTAAAAAATCAATGTTTTTGTCATTGATTATGTGACAGTTGTGAAAATGAAAATCACGAAGCAGTCAATTGTTAGCAAGGATAAAGTGTTATTAAATCTGTTAGACTTATATCATATAAATGTGACCGATATCAGAAATAAACGAATTGTTGGAAATCTGTTGGCAAGTGACAAGATAGCATCAATATGTCAGTCACCTATAGCTAGAAGTCTTCAGTCAAGTGAAGAGGGTTACTCTTAGCATGCTTATGAAGGATGATATCAATGTGATATGTTATAAGTGTATAGCATCTACATAATGAAGAGTAGTGTATAAGTTAGCTTATGTTGAGCACCTGTAGCAGGTTCCTCTTTTGACACACTGTGGTGGGCTCTGAGTAGATGCTCCATTGGCTGACACCCATGTTGACGCTTCTGTGGCAGGTGCCCATGTTGACGCTTCTGTGGCAGGCGCCATGTTGACGATTCTTTGGCAGGCGACATGTTGATGATTCTTTGGCAGGCACCATGTTGACGCCTCTTTGGCAGGCGCCATGTTGACGCTTCTTTGGCAGGCGCCATGTTGAGGCTTCTGTATAGGCGCCCATGTTGAGGCTTCTTTGGCAGGCGCCATGTTGACGATTCTTTGGCAGGCGCCATGTTGATGATTCTTTGGCGGGCACCATGTTGACGATTCTTTGGCAGGCGCCATGTTGAGGCTTCTGTGTAGGCGCCCATGTTGAGGCTTCTTTGGCAGGCGCCCTGTTGACGATTCTTTGGCAGACGCCATGTTGACGATTCTGTGCGCCATGTCGACACTTCTGTGGTAGGTGCCCATGTTGAGGCTTCTTTGGCAGGCGCCAGGTTGAGGCATCTGTATAGGCGCCCATGTTGAGGCTTCT